GAACAGTTCGGCAAGATGTCGAAACTTCAAATCGCAGAGATGATGTGACAATCGTCACTTCGCGCAGCAGAGCAATATGAACAAGTTCAAAATAGAAGTCGTTCAGCCACTGCAGAGCCCAGACCTCAACGTGGATGATCTCGCCTTTCCCAACAGCCTTGATGAAGCGTCCTTGGTCGCAAATTGAGAATCTGATCGCGGCAGTCGGGAAGTGCTGGTACAACTATGATATCCCTCAGAGGAAATTTGAAATGTTTGGCATTTCCTGTGCTTGTTGTTCCTGGGCATCCTCGAGCGAAAGCGGAGGCAGTTGGAGAAGGATGTCAGGTAACAGCGAAGACGATCCGGGACGCGGAAAAGCTTCTCCATGACATACGACATCGCGTCGATCGACCTGCCACTTGGAACGGTTTCAGCGGTGATGAGTCGAGCGATGACGACCCAGATTGGGACTCTACTCCCACGAATCAATCCTGTAGATATGTCGCTTGAATGTGTTGATGTGTTTTTCTTCCAGAACACTTTTGTTGAGCACAGTAACTCCTTGAAAAGTCATGTCGAAAAGTCACGAAATTTTAGTTTATGAAGGAAGTATTCGAAAATGTTCTCATGACTTTCGCCATTGTCTTCTAATGAATAAACCAGAACGCAGAGCATTGTATAGATGCGAGCCAAGTATAGTACAGTAGAGAAGTATGAGTAAGAAGGGTAGTACTTGGACAAGACCATGTACAATTAAGCGGGAAACAACGCTTCCCAAAGTCTTGGCACAAACGCTGCAAAAGAACTAGAATATAGGAGGGTAAACTATGATTATGGGTCAGCCGTTCTGAACCGTGTCCATTAGATTATTCCATTCAATATAACCTTCTCTAATGATTTTTTGGCATGGCAAAACAGCTGATAAAAGGATTTAGCATTCCGCGCACGCAGACTGCATGCAGGCAGGCATACATCATTAGCATTCCGTGTACACAGACGGCATACAGACAGTCATACACCAGACGAATAAGGCTAGGTTGTGTTGGGCAAGTACTGGTGACGAGGAACTGGTTGGTCTTTGCCGCAAGGTAGGCACGAGCCCGTGAGGCTGCGAGTGCCGCAGGAAGGCACAAACCCGGAGGCTGTGATTGCCGCAATGGAAAGGCAGGACCATAAGGCCATAATGCCGCAATAGAAAGGCAGACCAGTTATGAGTGACTCCTCACCAGGTTTATCGTACTTGAAGTAGGAATGATGCAATGTAGTATTAATGGTTAGTGGTGGGATGGTGGGTCAGCAAAAGACAAAGGCAGCAGGATGCAAGTCGGGCATGAGCCAAAGCAGAGAAGACTCAAAACTGAGAATGGCAAGGAGATGTGCCACGTTGCGGACTCGGACTCGATCAAAACTGAATTTAATTATTGTGATGGCGTACGCATAAAGTAATGTGATGCACAGCAGGCAGTCTTGCCGGTCGCGGCAAGGCGCGACCGGACAAGTGCCGCGGCCAGAACCGCGGCCGTAGAAAAAAAAAAGGACCGTAGAGGGCGCTGTTGCGCAGCAGATACGTAGTTGCGAGATGTGCGCCTACGCTAAACTGAATTCATTACATGAATACATCACTATATGTTCCAAACAGAAACCAAAGACTTACATTCACGCTTCACCGACATTCTGGGTGTGTATAAATACATAGAATTCTTTGCATATCAACTCGGATACTGAGCAATAGTAAATATAAAAAAAGAGAAGAAACACATGAGAACGAGTTATGGAGCAACTACCCACGAGAAATGTGTTAGAGCTAGGTCATCGTGTTACAGTCGTGGATAGTTGCTACATAACTCGTTCTTTTGTGTTTCTTCTCTTTTTTTAAATTTTGTACAAATTCATGATTTAGAAGGCAGGCATGATAATTATACTTGTATAAACGACTATAAACGACTTACGTTTGCAGATAGGGAAATTGACCCAGCTTCCGTTCTGGCAATATGCAGGTTTTGGATCGCTCTGGGTGTATCCTGACATACACTGCGCTGAACCAGCATCATTTACAGTAAGAACAGTAGTAGTATCCACTCCATCAACATTCTTGCAAATTCCTGAAGGAGACAATCAAGCCGCAAGAGTCATTGTCATCGACAGCAGCAGTACTATGAATCAGGTCACAAAGGCTGCCGGCACAAATTACTTCTCAGCCAGCGTGCCCAAGTGTAAGTTACAAGGATTGTGCCACCAAACAGGAGTGGGGGGGGGGGGACATAAGCCCGCTCTTCTGAGGGTGGCAGTCATGGACTGGGATTTGGTAGGTTCAAACCTCACTTTCCATGTACGGCCCCACTCGTGCAGTCGGTGAACGGACACCTGCAGTGACTGCGCGGCGACGTCTGGGGTCAGCTTTGAGGTGACTAGGCTGTACAAAGTTGTGTCAGCAACATAGGCCTCCAAGCTGGCGCCGTCGGCGAGAACACCTGGCGCGTTGTTGACATACGCCAGGAAAAGCGTTGGTCCAATAATGCTTTCCTGGAGGACTTCAGTGGAGGTCATATACATAGATGACGTTCACCCTCCAACGAGCAAATGTAGGGAACGGGTGTCCAGGTTCCCTCAGCGCTTGCCCGGGCAGTTTGGAGACCTTGCAAAGCGTCCGATGTTCTGAGGCCTCCTCGACGGTTGCGACGTGAGCAGGTGGTGGTCCTCAAAAATACTTTACGGTGTGTCTGTTTACAAGAGTTTCCATGACTTTCGAGATTATGCACAGTAAGTGTATGGGCTTGTAGTTCTTAAGGGTTGGCAAGGAATATCGCTGGTGGATAGGAACCACGTTGGCCGTCTTCCACATAGGTTGGACTCAAGACCGGAAGCATAAAATTAGGACAGTGGCTCTGCGAGCTCATGAGTACACTCCGACGCAGAAATACCGTCAGGCTCTGTTAATGTATAGACAAAAAAAGTACCAAGAAACTGCAAATTACGCTATAATGTCCAATTACACCACCAGTTACTAAACAATCAGCTCATGCGACAACATTGCACTACACTGACCGACGGTACTGACGTTCTACAACTAACTAGCTAGCAGCTCTAGCACAATTTGGATGTGCACTCCAACAGTCTTCCAACTTGAATCGTGGGTTGACCGTATAGTCCAATGGTTTTGCCACCATCCACATGGACATGCGCGAACATCTGCCAAAGTCCTTCACGGCTGAGGCTTTCAACTCGTGCTTATCTTGGTTGCGCTCAGCTTCCCATCCTTATGTTATTTCTATAACTTAGAACCTTCGAAGTTGGAAGGCTGTTGGAGTGCGCATCCAAGATGTGCTAGAGCTTTTAGGCAGTTATTTGTTGGATATATTAGCCAGTTATTCTCGTAGCTATGCAAAATACGTCACTTCAGTAAAGTCTGGCACTAGCCAGGGTCCACACATCTTTAATTCTGTGTAGGTTTGTTCGTTTTTTGTGCCGTCGGCATGCCTGGCGCTGTCCCGCACCTGTACCGTACAGTACCGTGCCATCAATGACAGCTGGCCGCAAAATTCAAATGGGGCTTTCAAATGCAAAATCATAACGTGAAGCAACTTGGAAGAACGAGTATGTATGCGAAGTGTATCGGGGGGGGGGGGATGCATGCAGGGCGATAGTGCAAGTTCGAATCCCAGGTTACAGTACGTCTTAAAACAAAATAGGAGAAAGGAAAATTTATAACATCCCTATCCTTTTTTCGCCTAGGTCAGTAACCCTTTCAGTGCTAATGACGAGATATCTCGCTCTGTAAAGTGTACCCGAACGGCGGATGAGGAGATATCTCGCTCCACTGCCCACACAATAGTACAAAGTGCATATATCACTGTACAAACTGTCGTAACTTTTGTCAACCAAGGCCGATTTTCACACACAATATACCGTTGGAAAGGTATTGAGCTCAGCGCTGTCCAGTGATATAACATTCTTTGCGATAGGACTAGATTTGAGTGAGCGGTGACGACTAGAATTGCAAAAGTCAAAAATACGCTTTCTTGCCATCTGTTCAAACTTTTTGCTCGCGACTCGCTTTTTTTAGTGGATTTCCCTTTATTACAGCGCATGCGTGTTGGACATCAAACACACTGCTTGGATCCCAGCTTTGCAGCGCAGTTTGAATCGTGACGTTTGGTTTAGTTTGAGCGAGATGGCGAACAAAAATGTATTATGAAGTTGTTTAGCGATTCTGAGACATGTAGGGACATCTTCTAGAGCACATAGAAGTGACCATGGCATGCCTAAAGTACTGGGAGTCCTCGCTTCGCTCAGGCCTTTCCAACAAGCCATAGATCATGGAAATCTATCAATAAAATCAAAAATTGCGAAAGATTTTGCTCGGCAACGTGCATGCAGGGTTCAAAATGAAAGTAAGTGCGCTGAAAGCTTAGCCAGCAAGGGGAAACTAAGCCAGCAGTGAAAGGGTTAAGGACTTGGGTGGTAGATGACAATGGTGTATCCAATCAACGGAAAAAACATTTCCATCAGTTCTAAAAACAGCCATGATGAGCTAGGCAAAAAGCATAGCGTAGGACCCTGAACTGATTGTTTCTCATGAACTGATTGTTTGTCATGAACTGATTGTTTGTCGATTGTTTAGTAACTGCTAGTGTTTGTGTACACTAAAGCGCAACTTGTAATTCCTTTGTCCTTTTTCTTGTCTAAAAAGAGATATGATTGTTATGTGTGTATGCTGACACTCAATTTGAGTGAATTATTTTAGTTGTGATTGTTACTGTCTCCCAGCCGAGGTCACACACACTAGTTCCAGCAATACAGTTATGGTAACAAGGGATTCACAGGTAACACGGGAATACAGGTACTTCAAGTACTACCTCCGACAAGCGAAACTTGGCGCGTTTTTTTAATGATTTCAATAACTCAACATAATTCACACTTCACGATGGAAAATAATGATTGGTTCACCAGAATACAACTTGATAGCCCAATGGCTAACTAAACAAGGACATTGGAATTTAGAGACATAGCTTCATAAGTCAGTCTGAGTCGCTCTCCTCTGATTCGGACGTCGCAGCTTCTGGACGAGAGGAATCACAGTCGCTGACATCCGACGAAAGTGCGACTAGAGCGCATTCAGCTGCAGTAAGAGCCTCTGCTGTGACTGCTCTGCAACTCTCGATGTCGCTCCGATGTGCTGTCCGCGAGCCACGATGTCGAGGGTATTCATTTCCACCGCCACTCTCCAGAATGCCGTGGTACGAATTGTGTAAACACCTCCACACGGACTCCATCTTTTCGGCAGGGTATTCACGCCAACAGTCCAAAATCGCAGCCAACAATTCCTGGCGATTTTCCTTAGCCACCAGAGATACATCGCTCTGGAGGCTATTGAAAAACGCCAGGTCGTTGACATCGACGTCTGGACTCTGTGCTGGCTGAGTGACCACGCAGAGAGAGAACCCCTTCGTTTTGCTTTGACACGCAAAAGCACGGTGATTCTCCTTCGCAGTATGGGGGCGCGCACCGTCGTGCTGGTACAGGAGAGACTGGCCTGCCTCAGCACACGGTGTACCTCTCATACGTGAGAATCGCCATGTACCACTCACCAGCTCACCGCTTGGCTTCCTGCATCCGGAAGCATCGAGGTCGTACCTGGCAGCCTTGTGGTACCACCACATCTTTTCCCGTATGGCCTCAAATACACCACCCTTGGCGATGATTTTCTTGCGATAGGCGCTTGCATCAACTGTGACATCTTCAAGAATTGTCGTTTGCCCAGCTACCACTCCAGTTCTCCTGTCACTGCGCTTAGCTAACCTCTCAATAGTGAAGCTCCACATGCCGATGCGACCGTCAAATCCGTATTCAGGTCGTGGACGGGCGCAGACCGCGAGTACCATCACCTTCGGCATTCTACTCTTGTGATAAATTTTGGGACTGCGAGGAAATCGGTACTGACCCTGGCGATCAGGAAACACACGACAGATCTGACCGTCCTTCATCATATAGAACCATTTCTCGTCCCCGTGTGCTGAGTTCAAGAAATCAGGTAAGCGCTGAGTGGAACGGTCCACCTGGTCGAGTACAAAGTTCAAACGATTCTTCTTGTGGGTGCGAGTCAATTTTGGCTTGATGTACCGCCGCTTCCGTACCATTTGCAGGGCTTTGCTCCATGTCCGGACTGTCTCCCGTGACACATCGATCCCGTCCTCCTTCAATTTACCAGCCAATCGTTTGTAGGACAACTGGCCCCAGAATTTGTTGTTGATTGTAATGAGTCGGGTCGCCGCTTGTTCATCAAATTTTTGACATCGACCTCCGCATTCCTTCCTGCTCCGTGACCAAGCGATCTGTTCAATAGGTCGCCCATCGCTTGTTTGTTCTCGAAACCACTTTAGCTGTCTGACTATGGTTCTTCGCTTGATGTTCTGGCTAGGGAAGTCACGGCGAAGCTGATCCAAAGACTTCTTTGTGAGGCGGCCACCTTTGGTGAGAGCGTCAGCGCGAAGTGTGATGTTTTTTTCGAGCGGGCGTTTTGATGTCTTGATGCGCTCTTCGAGCCTTTCTAGGTGTCTCAAGAGGCGGTGGCTGCTCCAAAACTGCTGCGGCTACTTCACGAACACGTCTCCTCATTGTCTACGAAAATACCTAGCGAAGGGCGAAGGATGAAGTTCAACTTAGCGGTTGAACGGTTGACAGGTACTAGGTTCAAAGGTACGTTATTTTCGAGAAAAAACGCGCCAAGTTTCGCTTGTCGGAGGTAGTAAAACAATGTGAAAGTCGGATAAGCCTGAGCCTAAACGCTCTCTCTACTCAAAGTCCTCAAGAAGCTTCGCCCCAAATCTACATCCGCGGGCAGCTCGGCTCAGATCAGTCCGTGTGTGCATTTCAAGCATTGGCATGGCAGTACACCAGAACAGAGTTATAATATTATAACACCAACCATTTTTCAAATTGTCTTTGCATATGAAAATGGTTTTTCCATGTTGTTTATTTGTCGACTACATGGTTCTCGGCTGTAGTTTACAAGTAGAATTGTACCATCATCTACAGTTTACTCGTGTTATGTCGCTTTGCCACTATGCACCGTCAGCTGTCATGATTCCTGTAGGCTGTATTCATCCGTTTCCAGTTTTATTTGTTGAAGTAAATAGTTGACATTTCGTGTGTTTTCAGGACTGACTATTCCTTCTGCCTATTCTGCAGTTGCACGCGTGGTTTACCTCATTGGCTTCACTCGTTCCTCATCTCTTTTGTTCATTTGGCTTACGCAAAGACTAGCCAAGCTTGCTTGGTGATGTCAACGCGGCCAAGATAATAATAATAATAATAATAATAATAATAATTGATGAAAAAAAGAAACAGCTAATCAGGGAAACCCACAGCGTTCGCACGGTGATAACAAACACTGTGTAGTGGAAGGATATGTGTGAACATTGGCAGACTTTGCTGGATAGGCACAATATTGGGGAATTTGAAGAACAGAAAGAAGTGTTTAACTGTTGGCATAGAGTTTACAAGTTAAGTAGGCCAATATCAGATAGGGCGCTCTTGAATTGACTGGCAGCAGTTATCAGTCTTACATCTGCAGAAAGGGAATTCCATGAAATAATTTAATATAACTCGAGTGACCAGCAGCTCCGCCAAGGGAAGGGACTTGGAGCAAGTAGGAAACTTGCCCCCCAGTAATGCGCTGATCATTCTGCCCTGTATTTGGAGCAGTCTTTGTAAAGAGTTGCTGTAGGAGTGGGCTACAATATCCATTGATACAGTGGTATACAAAAATTATAACTTTCTGAGTGTAGTATGTGTCAGGCTGACAATACTAAGAAGTGGCAGAAGCGGTGGGTTGGGGTGAGAACGCGCTGTTGCAAGGTTACATGAATGCCGGCTATGAGTATCTTCTCCCGACGTACAAGCAACTGGGCAAAAAGCCCAGGCACAAAGCTATTCGAACCAAAGCAGAGAGGACCATACTAAGAAACCAAATGCGTCTTGCACGCAAACTGAGTCCTTGACCATGCCTCCAGAGCTGGTGTGCAATATGGGGCTTCCAGGACAGCTCATCATCCAGTATCAACCCGCGATGCTTAGCGGAACGTGCGACAGCAAGTTTCCCAGCATGGCAGAACACCTCAGGCTGCGTTTTATCTGCGCCAGGGGGCTTTATGAACAAATGCTGAGTTTTTGCTGCATTCAACCAATATCTTCAAGCCATGTGGCGAGGCTTAATGGCGTGGCCGACGATTCGTCATAATTCGGTGTCTGAGCACACGAGAGTAACAGCGTCCGCAAATTATTGGTTGTTTACCGCCATTGGCAGGATCGTACTCAATGTGCTAGTGTACAAGACAAGTAGCAGGGGACCAATAGCACTTCCCTTTGGGACACCTCGAGAAGAAGAAAAGGCAGGAGAGAGATGTCCCTGGACTCTCATCTGCTGGATGTGGCCTGAGAGGTAACAGGCAAACCAAGTGAGTGGGGTACCGGAAATGCCAAGAGAGAAGAGTTCAGTCAAAAGGCGCTTGTGTTGAACGTGACCAAACGCTTTCAACATGTCTATGACCACAACTCCAGTGTACTCTCGTCGAGATGTGGCTAGAGACCGTCTGTTACCTGCGAGGACAAGTGCATGGTCTTGTAAATTTCTAAATTCTGCACCTGAGAATACATGCTCTGCACCTGAGAATACATGCTCTGCACCTGAGAATACATGCTCTGCACCTGAGAATACATGCTTGCATCTTTTAATTACACACCTGCAACCCAACGCAACTCGTAAAATGCCAAGTTTTGACTAATTTCTGGGCCAGTAATCTGTTAACATCTAGCAACAGTTCACGACATGAATTTACATGTTGTAAGACTTGCTGGTGGAACATTATTTCCAAAAAGTGAAATTTTGAACGGAACCAGTGCACCTCAAAAACTATTCTCTGGCTAGATGTACTAATTAGTAATTAAGCATTATGTTGTAAAGTTTCATTACACTTACTGGCTAAGCAGGCAAACGGAAGCTCCTCCGAATTTGGTTTCACCATTCTGCTTTGTAGCTGGTTGTCTTTTACTTGAAAGGCATAATGAGTCTGAAAAGTAATGAGGTTGGATTGCCGAGACCAGAAGTATGGGTCCTTGGAGATATTGACTCCAAGTTTAAGTTTGTGGAGCAAAATAGACATAGTTTCTACTTCAAAGCCATTGTCAAAGTCCAAGAGTCGTGCATCATAACCGTACTTGTCTATGCAGTGTTTTGTCGCGTTGTAATGAGTCATCTTGCGCAACCTGAGGCTCAAGGGGTTCACCGGCACAACGACATATACATTATTTTTGTGGTACTGGGATGAAGCTGTAAGTATTCAAATGCACAACGAGATAGAAGTTAAACACGTGCAAGCAAACACATGCTGTCAGATCGCTCTGCGAAGCATTTCAATCCAAAATTCTAATTGTGAAATTGGTGCTTCAACCATATTTCTTATACAAACTAGTTTATGTGTACCGCAAGCAAGAGTTCATATCTTTCAACAGTTTACAACTCTTGGTCTCTTGCACTGTAGATTTACTCTCCACGGAATTCCTACATTACGCCATGTTCATGTGCTGTGTAATCATGCATCATCTAATACCTGCTATTTGGGCCTTGGATGAATTTACAACTCACTCTGTAAACATTTACATTGTGACCTTTTTCAACGATGTTTTTCCAAAGGCTGCCATCGACAACCCACCTCCATGTCGAGGTACGTTTGGTTGATCCCGAACAAATTCTCCATGGAAGCCATGCATGTGAGGTTGTTGCCGACAGGAACTCACGAGTCAAGGAAAAATTGTTTGCACGAATGCTGACACCATAACACAGTGGTGCTCGCGCCTGGAAGGTGAAGTCACGCGGCACTCACTGCCCTGAAGCTGGCCAGGCTCTCTGTGCTTACATCGTGGCGGCGCACGGCATCATACGCAGAAAGAGAACATGAACCTGCTCCACTCGATGAAACTTTTCAGTCGTCGTGAAACCAGGGCAATGTCCTGACCGGCATGTTGACGACCTGGCTTTTTTCGCTTCTCTTCCGTCAGACATCTACTTTGTCGCAAGGTGGAATCTCATGAACCTCCTCGAATGCGTTGTAGAATACTGTGAGGGGTATCCTGCCGAGAAACTGCGAAGCTTGTGGATGTGCTCGAATGACTCCGGCATAATGTAAGTTGCTGGTGGAAACGACCGGATCTTTGTATCACTCAGTAGTCCACCAGCTCTCTATATGTGTTCACTCCTCTATATGTGTTCACTCCTCAGTATGTGTTTACGCCTCATATATATATATATATATATATATACACAATCCAGTATAGTCCTCACCAAGTACACATTCTTTCTGTTGCTACTCAGAGTTTCTTGAACAATCAATCATCAGGCAACAAACAACTAAAGCTGGGCATGCAAAAACAATGCTAGATATATACAATATATATTTCGCAGATTGAGTATTTCGCTCCTGCTCTTGTAGCAGTTGAGCACTCTTGCGTGGGGTAGTGCCTTTGCTGTTTGCTTTATGCAGAGCTCACTGACTTGTCAGTTTGAGCACTCTGGCAAGGTACGTTCGGGCCTGATTGGAAATTTTTATTTCCATTGCTATGAGGTTCGGCCTCATTTCTCTGTGCTGCGCTGATGAGTTCAAAAAGAACGAAACAGCATGCTGTCCGCAGATTGAGTATTTCGCTCCTGCTCTTGTAGCAGTTGAGCACTCTTGCGTGGGGTAGTGCCTTTGCTGTTTGCGTTATGCAGAGCTCACTGACTTGTCAGTTTGAGCACTCTGGCAAGGTACGTTCGGGCCTGATTGGAAATTTATATTTCCATTGCTATCAGGTTCGGCCTCATTTTCTCTGTGCTGCGTTGATGAGTTCAAAAAGAACGAAACAGCATGCTATCCGCAGATTGAGTATTTCGCTCCTGCTCTTGTAGCAGTTGAGCACTCTTGCGTGGGGTAGTGCCTTTGCTGTTCGCGTTATGCAGAGCTCACTGACTTGTCAGTTTGAGCACTCTGGCAAGGTACGTTCGGGCCTGATTGGAAATTTTTATTTCCATTGCTATCAGGTTCGGCCTCATTTTCTCTGTGCTGCGCTGATGAGTTCAAAAAGAACGAAACAGCATGCTGTC